AAAGAAAATAAATTAGATCCAACAAATTATAGACCGGTTTCATTAACATCAATTGTTGGTAAAGTTATGGAGAGAATTATTAAAGATCATATGATGGTGTTCCTCATTGAAAACAGTTTAATTTCTAAAGAGCAACATGGTTTTGTTAATAACAAAAGTTGTATAACAAACCTGTTAGAAACATTGGATTTAATCACGCAAGCGTATGAAAAAGATATTTCCGTTGATGTTTTATTTTTGGATTTTAAAAAAGCATTTGATTCAGTCTCTCACACAAAATTACTGAAAAAATTATTCAGACTAGGATTTGTATCATCTTTGTTAAATTGGTGTAAATCATTTTTGTCAGACCGAACACAGAGGGTTGTGAATATATTGAAAATATATGAATAGGGGAATATATTTCAAGTTGGAAGATGGTTACTAGTGGAGTACCACAAGGTTCAGTACTCGGACCTCTTTTGTTTGTAATCTTCATTAATGACTTATGTAGAGGGATTATTAAAGACACTAAATTATATGCAGACGATACCAAAGTTATTTCAATCAATCATTGTTATGATGATAATAAAGTATTACAAGAGGATATTAACAGGTTAGTTAAATAGTCTGAAGGTTGGTTAATTACATTTAATGAATCAAAATGTAAAGTCATGTATATTGGCAAAAAGAATCCAAGATATGAATATAAATTGAACAACTCTGTTTTAACAGAAACAATGATAGAAAATGATCTTGGGATTTTCATTTCAAATAATCTAGAGTAGAAATATCATATTAATTCAGCTATAGGTAAAGCAAACAGAAAATTAGGCATGATCAAAAACTCTTTTGAGTATTTGGATGAACTTTCATTAAAGTTACTATACAAATCGTTAGTACGTCCCCATTTGGAATATGGAGCAACAGTTTGGAGTCCATTTTGGAAAAAGGACATTGACAATCTTGAAATCGTGCAACACAGGGCTACGAGTATTTAATCTTTAAGGGGGAAGTCGTATGAAGAAAGATTAAAGATACTTGAATTGCCAACTTTGTTTGATAGAAGAAGAAGAGGTGATCTGATTTAAATGTATAAGATCTCAAAAGGGAAAGATATTGTTAATTTTCACGACCCTCCTTTAAATTTTGAGCTGGAGCGATCTAGTAGAAGTAACAATTGTAGAATACGCAGACAATTTACAAAATCAAGAATTCGTCACCATTTCTTTACAAACAGAGTTATAAATGATTGGAATTCTCTTCCACAATGGATATTAGATAAAGATAATTTGAACATTTTTAAAAACAGTATCGATAATTATTTCGGTTTCTGAACACTAGTTTTTGTAATCGGCTGTCATAGTCTTAATTCTACGTAATTAAGACTCTACACACCTCAAGTGTGTACAGCACCTTTTCTATTCTATTCTATTCTATTACATAATATCATGTCATTAAATTTAACAATATTATGTAACTTTTGTTGTTGATTGTTTTGTTGTAATAAAACATTTATTATCATCTATAAAAAAAGTAATAAAATGATATAATAAAGTCTAATTAATATTACCATGTTAAGTTACATAACTAAATAAAATTATATTTAGTTATCTTTTACTTTTACACAACTTTTTGTAAGTAGTTAATGGAGAATTTACAATAATTAGTAGATAGTGAGGCATTTAAAATATGTCTATTAAACTAATAACTACTTGTTCAAGCAATATGTTCTTTATAAATACATATTGATATGATATTGTTTGCGTTCAAGTGTACTTTTCTTGTTAGGGACATTAAGATTATTTAAGATTTCTTGTATTAAGTGTTTAGACAGAGATTCATCGTTATATTTTTATATGGATAACAAAATTAACTGCTGCTTTGTAAATAATTATGGAGCTTGTTATAAACAATCATATACTCAAGAAAGAAATCTGATTGAAGATATTGACAGCAATGATCGTAAGCTACTTGAAAAACAAACAAATCTGAAACAAGAACAAATAACTAATATATGCACACACCATCATGATATGTTAGTTGTAAGATATGAGGGTAATCAGAAAATTTGATGTAATCCATTTCTGAGTCACAAAAAGGTATGTAGAGGTAAAAATATATATTTTTATATTTCATTAGGTAATATCATTATTAATAAGTCATATAAGTTTTTTTGGTAATAAGATTTGTTCAATGTTTCATAGTTATTAAAGATATAAGTTAAGAAAGACTGTAATATTTTTTCAAAATTTTTTTAACCCTTTAAGATTTACAGCAACTTGAAGTTAGTTATTTTTTGATTGAAGAAAGAAGGGAGATAAAGCGGAAATATGTCAATTTACTATTACCCATTTAACAAACTTGTAATAATGTTGCGAAGCTAAATCTTGGTACCAAAGACGTTTAATCACATAATATATAGTTAATGTTATTTAAGTAATGTAACTACTTTCTTTTTAAGAATCTCTACGTGTGATTACAATGCATACTGTGTTAGAAGCAGAAACCATAGATTTAAATCTTATATCTGGAAAAAAAATGTGTCCAACCTGTCGAAGTAAAGTTATGACATGTTTATCAAAAAGTATAAGTGAAAATAAAAATGATGAAGATTTTAATATTGTTAATGAAAGATTTATTCAAAATAAAAAAGAATTTATTCAAAATAAAAAAGAAAGTGTAGATACACACTTTGCATCTGCCGGAGTCTCCAATTAAGATCAAAGGATTGCACAAGCAGGTAAAATCAGAGAAGGTAAACAAAAGTTGACAGCATTAACAACCTCTATTAAAAAAAGGTAGCGATTTCCCTTAATATATCAGAAGAAAGTTTTGAAGAACAGTCAAGTTTTAATAATGAGTATATGGAAAAATCAAACTTTTTTGATAACATGATGGTATTGTTAACTAACAAAATTGCAGAGTCTACATCAACATCAAAAAAAGTACAACTTGCGACACTTGCTCCAACAGACTGGTCAATAAAAAAGGTCTCTGAAACATTGCATGTAACAAACTATTTAGCTCGAACTGCACGTAAGTTAACATTAGAAAAAGATATTTTAACCATGCCTAATCCTAAATTAGGAAAAGTTCTTACTGATGTAACAGTTCAACTTGTAAAGACTTTTTACGAAAACGATGAACATAGCCGTATAATGCCTGGTAAAAAGGACTATGTAAGCATAAAGAAAAATGTCCACATGCAAAAACGTTTGCTCTTATGTAATTTAAAGAAATTGTTTGTTGCCTTTAAAACCAAGAACTTACAAATAAAAACAGGATTTTCAAGATTTTGCAACTTGCGACCTTAATGGTGTATTACAGGCTGTCAAGTCGTCATTTTTTTCATTTTTTTTGGGGTTCTTTTTTTTTCTTCATTTTTTTTATTTTTTTGTTAGTTTCTGTCATTTTTTCATTTTTTTCTTGAATTTTTTACACTTTAAAGTTTTTTTTATAAAGAAATACTTAGAATTGCTGTTTTTGATATTTTTAAGTTGTTTTAAACTTTATGTTACTTAGTTTTTTATTTAATTTTCAAAACTATTTTATAATAACAGTTACAATCTTTTATATTCATATTTTAATTTTAATTATCCATTTGTATTGCTAAATTGGTGTTATTATTTAAAAAAAATTAATCATTCTAAAGTATAGAATTAGTAAAGTTAGTGATTTTTATATTTAGTTTTTAGTATATTTATCAATAGATTATATAGTATATTGGTTAAGTGGAATGATGTTTGGTTGGAAAAATTAGACAAAAATTTAGTGAAAATCCAATTATGGGCTGAAAAAAGAAACTCTGAATATGCTATCTGTAAACTATGCAAAAGTGATTTAAAATTCAGTTTGTTGGTTTCCAACATTATATCAGCACTCTTCAAAACCTAAACATAAGTCAGTGTCTGATTTAAGATTTTCAAAAACTGCTCGTCATTTATATGTTGATTCTAACAAAAACTCTATTAGGGGAGAAAAATTTATACCATTAGAGTTCTCTATAAATGAAAAAATTTCTGCTGCAAAAGCCATGTGGCTTTTTAAAGTGGCAGAGAATGATCTTGCCTTAAGACATTGTGACAACACACCAATATTGTTCCAAAGAATATTTCCAGATAGTAAAGTAAGTCAAGGTTTTACTATCGGCAAAAAGCTTCATATATTTTGCAAGATGGTCTTGGGCCATTGTTGGAAAAACGTTTATGTAATAGTATCACGTTAAGTCAAGGTGCATTCAATTTTATTGTTTGATGAAACAACTACTTCACAACAAAGAAAAATGTTGGATCTTTTATGTCGTTTTTGGTCAGAAGACAAAAACCAAGTTGTTACAAAATATTTAACATCGCTGTTCTTTGGCAGAGCAACAGCAGAAGATGTCAAAACAATGCTAGCAGATTTTCGTCATAATGAAAGGTTTAACATTACGTCATAATGAAAGGTTTTACCAATCACATTTACCATGGGATCATCTTTAATTATTTCAGCAGATGGTCCTAACAAAGCCATTTGGAGATTAATGTTAAATGCTGATCTTCATAGCAATGGTTTTAATGGCTTGTTACCATTTGTAAGTTGCATTTTGCATACAGTGCATAATGCTTTTCAAAAAGCAATTAATGTTGTTGGTGAGGATGCTGAGCAGCTTGCATTTGATTCACATACCTGGTTCAAGGTAAGGATTTGAGTAATTTTATACTGTAGAATACCATTAATTCGGACCCTGGATAAGTTGAATTTGTACTAAGTCGGACAGATTTTCAATTCCCCTTGAGCTTTCTATACATACAAAAAGCTTAGTTTATTTAGACATTCGCTAAGTCGGACTATTTATCTATTCCCTGTGAGAGTCTAACTTAACGTGATTTTACTGCAGTTAATACTAAAAGAGAATTTTTTACCTATGAAGTTATTTTTCTTACATTATTATTATTTTTTATTCTAGTAGTCTATTATAATACTAGCTAATAAAGTGTAGTGTCTCTATATAATTTTCTTTTTTCTGTTTTAGAATGCACCCTGTAAAATAGAAGATTTTAAAAAATTATCAGATTGCATTTTTATTGACGATGAGACATTAATTCTTCGTTTTATCAATACTAGATGGCTTACTCTTTCTTCTTCACTTATAAAGGTTCTATTAAGGTAGGAAGACACCAAGAAATATTTTTTTGTAAAATGTAATTAAAGTTATTCTTCTTATTATTTTTTTTGAATTATTACATATAATAGAGAATTAATTATTTTCGGAGTTACTTGTGTCCATCAAATTCCTTATTGGTTTGGCTCCCTTGTTTGAGAAATACTTGACAAAATTTCAAGATGAAGGACCACTTGTTCATATTTTATTTTATAAAATGAAAAATCTTTTAATATCTTTAATGAAACGTTTTTTTCAGCCGACTGCTGTTAATGGAAAGCTTACTAATGATCTTTTAAAAATTGATTCTTCCGATTCAACTATCCACCTTGATTTGAATAAAATGGACTTTGGCGAGGAAGCTAAAAAATAGGTAATTTTTGATAGGTACACATTTGCTACATTTACCAGTTGCACATTTGCTACCTGGTAAATGTGTACTTGCTAAATATGTATAAGTAAGTGTACTAGGCAATATAAACTATTTTGTTTATTGTATTAATCATTAGATATTATATTATTGAAAATTAAGTTTTTTTATTCATTTTCATTGATGTAGATTTTTAATATAAATATGTTTTAGGTGAACAAAATATCATGTGAAAAAAAAGATATGTCTGCTTACAGCAAATGAGAGATGGATATATATCTGTTGTGAAACACTTGCAAAAAAAACTTCCACTTGATTCACAGATATTAAAAGATATGACTTGTTTGGGTGCTCAAATGAGATCGTATATATATATATATATATATATATATATATATATATATATATATATATATATATATATATATATATATATATATATATATATAATTATATATATATATATATATATATATATATATATATATATATATATATATATATATATATATATATATATATATAATCATAATTTCTGATTTGTAAGCTAAACTAATAATAAGTAAATTTTGAAAATTTTAAATAATATAAGTATATATTTTGTTAACATAATCTACTATATCATTAAAATAGCAGAGTATGTTAACCATATAATTATATAATTTAACATTTTTAAAATTTACTAATTATTAGTTTAATTTACAAATCAGAAATTGTTGTTTGTAAATTATTAGTTAACAAACTATTTTAATTTTGCTAAAATTAAATTTTTCTTTAATTTTAAATGTTAATACTATCTCCATAACAATTTTTGTACAGGTATCATTTGTGAAAGATGAGTGGAAATTATACCAAGCAGCTAATATATCAAAAGACTGGTATATAAATTCTGATACAAAAAAACTAAAAAGAGTAGACCATTATTGGGCTAAAGTTTTTGAAAGTAACAATGAATATGGAAAAACAAAGTATGGGTATCTCAGTTAAGTTGTTAAGAGTTGTTTAACAATTCAGAATGGAAATGCCAGTGCTGAGTGAAGTTTATCTGATAATAAAAATACATTGACTTCTGGCAGAGTAAATCTAAATGATGAAACATTAATGGCTTTGAGAATATCAAAAGAATATGCAAGAAGTTGCAAAGAAGCATATAATACTGATGCACTCTTCAAAGACGTTGTTCAAGCTGTTTAAAATGCTCATAAAATATAAAAAAAAAAGAAAAGCTGAAGAATAGAAAGAAAAAAGATAAAAATATATTCATGAGCAAGAACTAATGAATAAAGAAAAATAACAGAAAGAAATGCTTGAAAAAGTTGAAAATAAAAATAAAAATTTAGATCAACAGGAAAAAAGTCTTAAGAATGATGAAAAAAATGCAGATTTTGAGTTTCAGCGTGCTCAGAAAATGCTAGAGGAAGCAGCAAAATCTATGCGAAGTGCCATTATTAAGGAAAACATGATGGGTATAAAAATTGCCCATGAAGTGATAAACAGCGCAAAAAGAAGTCTTGAAAATGCTACATCTCATAGAAATGAACAGAAAAAGTTGAGAGACAATATTGGTTTAAAACGTAAAAGTGAAATGGATAGAATAATTAAACGTTGCAAAAAATTAAAGTTGTTGTTAAAAGTTTGAAAGTTTTTGTAAATATAATAGAGCTTGAACTGTTGGTTCAGTTATAATTAGTTAGCAAAATTTATTTATTTATGTTGATTATTTTAGACTTTTTATTGCATTTATGTTAAATATTTTAGATTTTTTATTGCATTAAAAACGTTTTATTGCATGTTAAACAACAAAAAGATGTTGAGATTTTCATTTTTAAAAAAAATTAGTGATGGCGGATGATTTTATTTGTTATTTTGTTTGTTATTTTCAAAATAAAATTATTGAACTTTTCATTTTTATATGAAAATCAGTCATTTTTTTGTCAGTTTTATTCTCAAAATACCGTCATTTTTTGTCATTTTTTTCAAAAGTTGCTACTTGACAGCCTGTGTATTACTGTTGGTGCCTCAGGAACACATTCTGTATGCGTCTGTGCTATTCATCAGAATTTGAAACTGCTTTTACATCCTCTTGGTGTGACATACAAAGAATTGTTACCTTATATTGTCTGTGATATAACTAATAAAGACTGTATGATGAGGAAATGTGAAAAATGCCCAGCAACTATGAATGCATTGGTTGAAAAACTTTATGATATACTTGGAGAATTTGAAGATGATGATGATGATATTGAGTTTGATCAATAGACAACAACAGATAGGTCAAACTTGACACATAATAATGAGCCAGTGTTTGAATACATTGAACTAGTATGTAGAAAACTGAAAAAACTTGCATTCGTATTTAGCAAAGAGTCAAGCATTATACCTGAGATCAAGAAAAGAAGATATGAATGAGGTAACAGCATTATTTCTGGGTGATTTTTCAGAAAACTATAAATTTGTAGTTCAGAATGAAGTGCAAAGCTTTTATTGGACAAATTTACAATGTACACTTCATCCAATGATTATTTATTTCAAAAAAGAAGGCATTCTCAAGCACAAATCCTATTGTATTATTTCGGATGATATGATCCATGATGTGAACATGGTTTATAAATTTATTGAGGTTGTGTGCAATGATATAAAAACAAATTTGCCTCAAATAAAAAATATTGAATATTTTTCAGATGGGTGTGCAGGTCAATATAAGAATTACAAAAATATGTTAAATCTTTGTTTCCATTGTAAAGATTTTGGTTTTACTGCTAAATGGAACTTTTTTGCAACTAGTCACGGTAAGCAACCTTGTGATGGGATAGGTGGTACAGTCAAACGTCTGGCAACACTAGCAAGTTTGCAAAGAGATATAGGTAATTATATTTTATCTCCAAAAAAAATGTATAAATATTGCAATGAAAACATTGAAAGCATAAATTTCATATGTATTTCATCAGAAGATTTAACTTTGGTGAGAACCGCTCTTAAAGAACGATTGGATACTGCTAATACGATACCTGGAACACGTAGTTAATATCATATTGTACCACTTGGCCATCAAATGGTAAATGATTATTTTTTAATTATATCTTTTACCATATTTTAAAATACACGCATAACTTTTATTGATAAAATCAAATAGATATTAGATTTTTGCAGAATCATTATCAAAAATATTTGTATTTTATTTTATTTCCTCTGCATTTGCTATCTATGCATTTAATAAAACATGTTTGATAAGTAAAACGGAATAATTGCATATGTTACTATTTTTTTAATTCTAGATTTATTTTTTTAATTTAGAAGAAAAAGATGTGCTTGTAAAATTTATGTGTCCTAATGGTCCTTGACGGTCGTTTAAATGGCCATCAAAGGAAAGCCAATGCTGGATTCCTGATGTCCACATTATTTGCAAAGTTGAGGTAACGATAACAATAACAGGACTTTGCTACTATTTAGCCAAAGAGGACTTAAAAAAAATTATTTTCCTAAGGAAGTATAGATTTTTATATTTATGAATCTATTATGTCTTATCCATTATTTTTTTAAATATTATGTTTTGTGAACCAACTTGTAAATAATGTGAATGTAAAGCATAGGGATGACTCTTTTACCTCCTTTTTTTTACTTATACGAGTAAAACAATCTTTATCAAAAAGTAAATTACATAACGCTACTGATTTGGCAACAACACGTAACTTACAATCAATACATTTTTCAGGAGCAACTAAAAACTAATTTATTTCTGTTTAAGACATTATTAGGTAATATTTTTAATTCATATAGTTTTATTTTCAGATGCTATTCTATTATATAACAAATTTTATTAATTTTTGTGGTTATTCATTTTTTACCAAAAACCATTTAATACCAAAACGTCAATTTTTAAAAAAATGTCAGATACGAGTTATTGCCAAATCAGTAGCAATAAGTAATTTTAAACGTTTTATGTAAATTTACATTTCCGTATAAGTAATTAATTTTTTTGAAACGACTTTTACTTTATAATGTAAGTTTTTTTACTTTCAAAAGTAAGTTATGTAAAAAAAGATAAGATCAAAAAGCAATTTACTTTTAGATGTAAAAGTTAGTCACGTGAAAAAGCTGTTTACTTTTACATTTAAAAGTTAATTACTTTTGAAAATTACTTTACATAATATAAAAGTTACTCAAACTGTAATTTACATTTACCTTTAAAAGTAACTAATTAAAAAAAAATTATATTAAAAAGTAACTTACATATAAAAGTAAATTACATAAAAGTAATATGCTAGCAAATGTAAATTAAATTTACAAAATAAATAATATTTTTTAAGTAGGAATTTTCTATATTAAAAGTAATAACAAATCTTTATTAAAAATAAGTTACATAAAATAAAGTTTAAATTACATAAACTTACATTTTATATAATTTGTAAAGTAAATTAAAAGTAATTTATATAAAGTAAGTAAATAAATTTACTTATATTTTACAATAACTTTGACAAAATTTTGTACAAAAGTAATGCAAAAAAGTTAAATTTTAAGGAATAAGGCATAAGACATTTAGTTTTACCTAACATTCGATTTGCGCGGTTTTAAATATTTCTTTCATGTAAAGTTTGAAAAAATCAATAATAGGGTTCCGCCCATGATTAAAACTCTCTAGTTCCGGTCATGATAGTTTTAGCTATAATAAACATTCTCTCAAGCAAACCGTCGCAACAATGTTCACTCTCTGGCCAACCGTTCGAAAGGTCTGGACAAAGCTGAAAAAAAGATGTTAGCAGAAAGCGCATATACCTATGGGAGACTCAGAAAGGGTAGTTTGTTTGAAAGAAAATTAATTGGCATAATTGTTAGTCCTTTTTACAAGCTTTTGCGTAAATGTATTTATTATTTAAAAACTAAGGAGAATAAGTTTAAACTTGTCCTGAATTATCGGGACTATAACACCATGCCTTGAAGAATAAGGAGCCCCGAACATTTTCTTTGCGACATCGGTTAGGAAGAAGGCGTGAACTTTCAATTAAATGCTAATCAGCGGTGCTCTGTGCGAAGACCGTAAAGACTTATAAAAAAACATAAAAAATTTAGAACTTTTCACGTTAATATCTTTATCTGCATGTAGCATCAGTGGCCTTGCTACCGCAATGCCAGTATAAGCAAAACTTACGGTTCCACAAGCAACTGAACCTAGAGCCGCAAGGTTTAGGAGATATATTTAAGATATATTTAAAGAGTTTTTTTTTTGTTTTTTTTTTTAGAAAAGTTATTGTTCCAGAGAAACAGAAATCGGGCACCTTGGTCACGTAAGCCTGGATACAAAATACCATAAACATTTACCATCTCTACTCTAAATGTGAGGGCAACAAATTAGTAATGATTTTTTTAAAAGGTATAATTTTGTAAAGTTTACACCTTCGCCTAATGAGGTGGTTGTTCCAATCTTTCTCTAAACATTCTCATGTGATAAGCAAGAACAAACTAATGTTTGGCACTTAAGTATGTTTTTATTTATACCACAATAGAGCATAATATTAAAGATAATTTAATATTATGCATTATAATACAAAATAAAGATAATTTAATATTATGCATTATAATACATATAAAATTATAAAAATATTTAAAATTTAAATTATTATGAAAATATTATGACACTACCAAAAATATACTAAACAGGTGCACTTTTGGATATATAAGTTGTGCTAAGTTCGATCGATATAATGTACTCTGGTTCAATAACATTGTCATATTAACAATTATTTTTTAATAGTTTATTTTATACATGAGATTTAAATTGCTGTTAGTAATTATTTCAACCAAAATTATTGCGTTTTAATAACTATAATATATTATAATTAAAACCATATTTTGTCTCAAAAATTAACTTACGAAAATTTTGAGACAAAATTATTAAGTTAAAGACATCATTATATTTTTAGTTATTCATAGTGTTTTTAAATGAGTTAAATGTGGTTTTTAACAACACATTAAAAGGTTCTCAGAAAACCTCATTTGTACAATAATATTATTAGTCCAAGAAAAGGCTGTTGATTAATTAATTGTTATTGGTTTGTTGATAAAAGAAATCGTTGCATGTTCAAATTGTAAAGCTTTTTTACATTGCAGCATAATACCACGCAACACCATTCGTATTTAAATCAATTTAAAATTAAATCGTATTTTTTGTTTAATAAATTTTTTGATGAATAATATTTTTTATAACACCGTTATTTTTACATGTTTAAAAAAAAATTATTCAAAACACCCTGTTTTAGAAAGTTACATTAGAAAAAAATTTCTCTGTACGTAAAGAGCCAATTTAAACGCCCTTTGGTGTTTTAGCTACTTACATATTAATTTTTCAGGTAGTGGAAGTTGGGTTACAGTAGATCGAGGGGCACAGTGAATAATAGTCATTTTCTCAAAGGTTAGAATTTTATTCATCTTAGTAATGTAATCATTTTTTGTGCTCATATATCAGCTGTCTTTATTTATAGTAGTTACCACAAAGTAATTGACTACCGGTTTTTGGTAGGTAATTTTTGTTTTTAGCTAACTAAAGTAAATTTTCTTACCTTCCTTATGTTTGTTAAGGAGATTATGGTTGAAATAATTTTAAGAGTTGAAGTTTTTCATTCGAATTATTGATATTTTCTTTTAGTAGTTTAGCTTTTCTTTTAACAACACTCATGTTCCAATAAATTAGACTTAAACTAAATTTGTTATGAAAGGGCACAGTGAATCGAGGTACAGTGAATAGGTTGGTTCACTAATGTCCATTAATGATCTTAAAGATTAAATTCATGCATTTTTAACAAACAAACTACATGAAAATGAATTTATTAATTTTAACTTTTTGATAATAATATTTGAATAATTTTTTAATTTTTTAATACTTTTATAAGTTTTGTTATCAATAAAGTTCTTTTTTTTCGTCTCAATTTTCAAAAGGTCTATTTTTACAGTGTCTTTAGCCTTATATTTATTTGACTATGCCGCTAATCACTATAATTAATTCACAGCTGTGTTCATTGATTCACTATGCCCCATTACTGGGGCACAGTGAATAACGTAACGCAACTCACTCTAAACCTTTCTGTGAGCCGATAGATAATAAATATTTGGGTTTTAGTAATTTATCATCATGAAAAACATATATCTCAATCCTTTCGCCTTGAAAAAATAAAATACATATTTTAACTTTTGCTTAATTTTAAAAATAAAATCCGATCGACTGTGCCCTAACTTAACATATATTTCCAAAAGTAAACTGCACCACCACAATAGTTTCTACCTTAACCGGTCAGATCTCACTGGGTGATGACAAATATACCAACTTATAAAAAAGCATAAATAGTAGTTCTACCAGTTCTTATCTAAGATGGCTACCCACTATTAAAAATCGCCAAATAAAAAAATACACTTTTTCATTTTTTTAAGGGTTTAACTTTATGCACAATCAAAAAAAAAAAAAATTGACTGTTGTTTAAGGTCGAACCCTTATCCAGCAATCAAGTTTGCCCTTACTTAATTCTCTTGAAAGGTTTGGAGTTCCAAAAAATTACAAAAGTTAATAAAAAGGGTCTTAGCATCAGTTAAAAATTCTTTTAAAAAACCTACAGATCTCGATCTCGACATCAAAAACTAAGCTCAATTAAATACAGTTTTAATGTTAGAAGAACAGAAGAATTTAATGCCTCTTGTTCTTTTTTTAATGTATACTGTTTTTTAAAGGTTTTTATTTTGTTTTTGTGCTTTACTCCATTTGAAAATTCCCTACTAACAATAAGTTGAAATTTTACAATCTTAGGGAGGTACGACACACCCGCCCCTCAAGCATAACCCAGAAGTTGCGCACGATCTTTCGTCTTTAAAGAAAAAATAAACTTTTTATGTAAGCTAGTTAATTTGTCGTGAACTAGCATATATAAAAAATATTATCCTTTTAACAATGTACCAAATTGGACTTACACGTTTGGCTTCCCCGAAATTGAATGTGAGCATGTAGGTCAACTTAATTTTTATGACAAAAAAATTATAAAATTACAAAATTTTTATGACAAAAAATGACAAAAAAATCTTTGCGACAGAAAAGAAAGGTATAAAAACGAGCATAAAAATTTTTTAAAGATGAAACTTGATAGATCTTGTTATTTTCATAAAACTCTTATTACTTTCACGTAATCCCTTCCCTAATATTTCTGAAAATTAATACTATTTTTCAAAAGTATAATTAACAGTTGTGTAAAGATCTTAACATTTGACTCCTCCAACAACTATTGCATAACCTTAATTATACAATAACGATTGTGTTGGGATTGTAATTGCATAAACAAAGGGGGGTTTTAGCTTTATAAACAGATAAAACTGTAATTAAATTTTTTAAAGAGAATACAATTATTTATATAAAAACTTTTTTTTTTTTCAAATAAATAAAAAGCTTGAAATCAATATTTGTCCTCCAACCCTGTATTTTTTGCCGATGGCCCTATATACAAATATTTTTGTAATGACTTGCTTAAGACATCCTTACGGACACTTAAACTGCTGCTGTAAGCAGACTGTAAGCAAATCGCGACATTAGAATTATCTTGTTCTATCTCCACTTTCTAAAAAAATTGAGCTAATGATAGTGTTGTGTTCATCAAAATAGTGTCTTTCTACTGAATTGAAATCTAAGTTATAAGTAAAAAAGTTACGGAAAAAACATAAGTTATAAAAAAAAATTTATACGCCGTCTCCTAAAGTTTTCGTTTTTTAAATCGTTTTATCTCAAAACTAAAAAATATGGAGATAGAACAAGATAATTCTAACGTCGCGAAATTAAAGTTTTAATTACAAAAGGTAGTAATTATTGGAATAAAATATTAAAACTTATTGGACTTCGCAAGTTGATGTCATAGTATTATTATTTCTTCATAAATATTACTCAAGATAACCTTCTCGTAAACAATTGAATCACGCATAGCAGTAGTAAGTGGTATTTTTTTTCTTTTATATGCACATTTATTATACATGTACAATATTTGTTTATATGTATATTAAGGATGCGCCGAGCGTAAAAAATATCTTCAAACAGTACTTTTAGACAACTTTTTTTCAAGACATTTTTTACACTACTCCAAGATTAAAAAATTAGTAATGAAACATAAATAATTTTAATAAATTAAAAACATTAAAAACATAATAAATATGGTAAAATAAAAAATAAAAATAAAAACATTAAAAATAGGGTAATTTTGGCAGGGTGATAATTTTAACACCCCTTCAAAAGACACCTAAAATATTTATTTGTTTGGTTGTTCAAATCGTGTTTGGGTATTGAAGCAAGGTAAACAAAATTCCTAATAAATAAGGTTTAAACTTCTTTTTTTTTGTAATATAGGTACGCTGATTTATGATTATTATATTTGTCTAAACATTTTTATCTTTTTCAAAATGATAAATGATTTTTTTTTTATGAACTTGTAGCAAAAAATTTTTATTTATTTTACTCACTAACATTTTAATAACGCGCTGAATGAAAAATAATCTGAATTATACCTTAAGTGAAAGTTACGTTAAAACTTTTAACTAATGTTTTTATATTAGCGAAACGCTTTAAAATAAAGGAACAATGTATTAATAAACGCTTTAAAATAAAGTAACAAATTATTGATAATTAAAGTATATGTCACAGTTCTATATAAAAGGGGAGGAATTTTCATAGCAAAAAAATCAATATTCCTGAGACACGAATCGATGCCTATTATTTATAAGATGAAAGTAAAAAAATATTTTTTGATTTTGATTAGACCTTAAGGTTCCTCTTTAGATTATAAATTCCTGACAGGTACTAATATTTTTGAATTTTGTTTTAAAACCATATCAACCTTGAACTCAAAAAAGGCAGGAAAAAATGCTT